CCAAAGTCTTCTCATTAATTTAAAGTGTCTAATCACTCAAATTCTAGTTTTAAATTACTAGATTTTCACACCCTGTAGACTTGAAAGGTAGCTCTGCTTTTGCTAAGTAGCATACCAAATCCAATTTGAGTCTTTGTCATTTAGCTAAGCATGATTGACTTGTCTCATTCTCTTCGGTGTAATTTCCTCTCTTTGGTCTCTGTGCAATCTAGAAACACATGAACTTTTTTCAAAGTTCTATCACCTCTGCAGGATCCATATCTGTAGTTCTTTGAAGTTTTCAACTCTCTTTGTGCTACTTGAACCTGCTGCTTTTGTTCCTCTCTCCAGGATTTTATGACCAAGTCAGCATACTTTGCACCCCTGGGCGTACTCTATACAGTCCCTACCCTTCTTCAGTGTAAAGGTCCCTCTCCTACTTCTCCCATTTATCCTTTTTTTTTTCCTTTTATGTTTTGACCTTGTCTACTCTCGGTTGCTTTTTCCTGGTCGTGTCTTCCCACATTTTGTCTTTCTCACATAGTTTTTGTTTCATCTCTGAAATGTTAACCTCATCTGCCCCTCTCAATTCCAGGCTGTTCAGCTACACAAATTCACTCTCAGATGTGATCTTTATCACCGCTGACTCCCCGTCTCTCTCTCTGTCTCTGTAGGTGTGGATGTGTGGTGGTCGGATGGAGGACATTCCTTGCTCCAGGGTTGGTCACATCTACAGGAAGTATGTCCCCTACAAAGTTCCTGGTGGTGTCAGCCTTGCCAGGGTAAGTCTTGCATTATGGGAAAGCTTGATGTTTTCCATTTCTGGTGCCTTGTATTTGTTCAGTGACCTCATGGTGAAATGTCTTGCCTTGTGCAGAGGTGTCTGTTAGGAATTTCTCTCACTATCTGTTAAGCTTCACCTCAAAAACCCTTTCTTCTCTTTACTGTCCAAACAACAAAAGCGCTTTGGAGCGCCACAAACATAATAACCAGTCAGTCTAGGCGGTGCTGAGCAGAGTGTAAACATGTAATGAATAACTTCACAAAGTAAATGCAAAGGAAATAGTTTCTTTTAGGGCTGCTCGATTATGGCAAAAATGATAATCACGAGTATTTTCACTGAAATTTAGATCTCGATTATTTGACGATATTTATTTAACAATAACAATGTGTTGAATAATGACTTTAAAGATTGTCAAAAAATGATATAAAATAGTGTGCAAATACTGATAACAGTGCAAATGTTTGCAATATAAAAAATAAAGGGAAAATGTAAACATCTATGTTTAGTGAACTTTGCAGTGTAGCTCTGTGGTGCAGCTACGACACTGTAGCAAAGTTTACACACTGTGTCTACTTGATCCACGTCTGACTCCGCGAACCCATAATGTTTCCACACCACTGGAGTTTTTTTACCTCTCTTTTCAACCAACGGTAGTCACTCTCCTCTCCAAATAACTTCTGCTTAGCTTTCCGAGCTTCCCTCGGGTCCTCTTAATCAGCGGTCCCCAACCCCTGGGCCTCGGACCGGTACCGGTCCGTGAGTCGTTTGGTACCGGGCCGCGAGAGTTGAGGCTCAGGTGTGAAATGTATAGTTTTCAGGGTTTTTAGCGGTTTTCAGCGTTATTTTGTTATCGTTTTTATTGTTTACTCTGTTTTCCTGGGTCTTTTCACATGTGTTATGAATAAATCTTCTTTTTTTCGGTACCGGTACTAGTTTTATTTTGTTGTATTTATCCGCGACACCTTAAAGGCCGGTCCGTGAAAATATTGTCGGGCATAAACCGGTCCGTGGCGCAAAAAAGGTTGGAGACCGCTGCTCTTAATTGTTGTGACACGTGTTCGAAATGCAGAGAGGTGCGCTTGATTTGTCACACGGAGCAGCGCGAGAGTAAAGTATGAGGGAGGGGCTAATAATCGGCTCAGTCATTTTTTAATGATCGTTGAAAGCCCAGATCGTAATCGAGATTAAAATTCGATTAATTGAGCAGCCCTAGTTTCTTTAATATGAAAGGAAACAAAATCCGAATCAGATTTAAATAAGTAAATATCAGTATCAGTCTTAATAATGCTGCATTGGTTGGGCTCTACAGATGTTGTGTGAAAATCAATAATGTGTATGACTTGAACTTTGGTCTCTAGTGTGAGTGTTAAAGTCCTTCCAACCTCCAAAAGTGGATTTCTTCACGTCTCCGTCTACGCGCAACATTGATGTGTATTTGGACACAACTCGGTAAACAACAGACAGACAGACATCGCGATCAGGGACATGAAAATGTTGGGCCGTCGCATAAAAACTGTTACATTCATGCACAAAAACACAAATCGGTGTATTAAAAGTTGCAGCTATTTCACAAACCCTGCTTTCGAACTCGGTTGACATGCATGACCTCCACCTGTTTCTTCATTTAACTCCATCATCTAAAAGTTCTTCATTTAAGTCTCTCAGTGAAATGGGGGAATGATCGTTGCCATGCACACAAACATCAGCAGCCTGTGATTACTGCACTGATGGTGGCAGTTGGATACGTTTAACACATCGCTCAACCCTTCCTGGGAGGTTGCAGACGCATTAGCATTAACAACTCCTATCTGTGACTGGCCGTAAAAACCCGATTACCATCCAAAATCTACCATCTACTCAATACTGAAGGCTAGCATTACATAAAAAGAGCACTGAATTGCAAGCCGCTGTGAGTGTGATGCAGGCTTTTAGCAGCTTTTGTTTCCTTTACTTTGCTTTTCTAAAAGTTGTCACCTACACACACAGCATACAACTTAGAATTTTCTCATAATTAGCTCCCCTTTCTTTATTCCACGGCAGCTTTAACACTGTGAAACAGTATGAGAAGTGTTAAAAATGGCTTTCTGGCCTGTAGCTGAACATTATTCATTATGCATGACTCAGCCTCATTCTGACACCTGGCTCTGTTTGGCTCAGATGAATATGTAATTAATCCCTTTGGCCTCGGTTTTTGCCTTGTTGGTCTGACCATTAGCCCCACAGTGAGGCTGTATTGAATACTGATAGCAAACAAACAGGCTAGTTTTAACAGTATAAAAGTATTGACTGTACCCGGGGCTGTTATGAATCTGTTTTTTGTTGATTTCTCTACTAGTTTACAAAGAATCAAATAATAATACAGGTTTTTATTTACTGCTGACTTGCCCCATTAGACTAGATGATTAGTGCGATCTTAAGTCAAGATAACTCTGAACACCAAAGGCTCTTTTTGTACCACACAGTGATGGCTGAAGTCACGGACCAACTGTTGTATTTCCTTTTTAATTTTGATATTAGCTGATATATTGTATTTTGGCCATGACTTATTGTAAAAATGTAAATAATATAACCAAAAATCTTCATGTTTGGCTTGTATGGCTCGACTCTTCATTTATATCAGTTTATGTCAGTCTGCCCCAGGGCAGCTGTGGCTACAACTGTAGCTGCCTCCACCAGTGTGTGAATGTGAGAGTGAATG